AATGGCCGAAAGGGGAACCGACGAACCGTCAACCGGGCGGGAATGGGCGAACGGCAAACCGCCATTGTACATTACGTTTCGTTTATTTTCTGATTTTATAGTGATTTGTTAATTGCGTTTAACCCGACCTGTTTGTGAGCCAGAAATTCCATTCGATATTCTACGTGGTAAGTGAATATGATGTTTTTTCTGCTCTGTTTAAACGTTAAATAATGGATGCAAGCAGCAACATAACCTCGAAAGTTCTTTTCAGCGTTTTTATTATCAGTTTTTGCGTACCTTTTTACTGCTTTGAAATATTTTAATTTTTACTTAATTCTAAACATTATTGTTCTTACTGTTTTGCATCCCATTATTGCATGCTTAAGACTACGTTAGCTCCGTTTTTAGTTCTACCTTGCAATGGCGTTTGTTGGGGTCGAATTTACTGAAAATGGGACTGTTGGCTTAGTGCATTCTTCCTGGTTTACTCCTTTTAAACGCGAGGTTTTTTGGCCCCCGTATAAAACTTCCAACACTTTTAACCGAGCACTCACAAATGCTGAAGAGCCCGATCAAAGTAACTGGACATTGCATGCGGTGAAACGATCATTTTTTGAGTGTGGTATGTAATATTTTTGCATTAGTATTAAGCATGTTGTAGTATAACTCTAAAGCTATGGTTTCCTTAATAATGACGTCGTCTTTTAGTGGGTGAAAATACGATATTGCTTATTATAAACATTAACACACACTGTAACATTTTAAAGATTGGTTGTCTTAATCCAAGCAGTATGTGTTAATATTTGATTGAAAGCCACTGTAATTCCTCCCGATTAAGACGACTTAATATTTACAATTATGACTGACTGACGTGTAAATGTGAATTTATCTACAGATGACATCGATAAGGCTAGGAAAAAACTGAAGATTTGTGAAGTAACATCTGACATTCAGTCTGAACCAGAAGGGCTTTACCAAGATTGCAGTGGCAAAAGGAGCGCCAGAGTAAGAAAACCACGAGTTGTGTATTCATCGGACAGTGAAGGTGAAGAGGCTCGTCATAAATCTCTCCCAAAACCACCAGCTTTCCAGCAACTGAACTTACGCAAACCTGGTAAATATTGCATTAATTTTTGTAAGTTTTTGTAGCAAGTAGGCTGTAATTTTGAAATGATTGAATATAGTCAATAAAAGCAACTTCAATCATGTTTTAACACTTTTAAACAGATCCATCACAGTCTCGGTCATCAAATAATGGCATCGTTGTCCACAGTATAACTCCTGTTGTTGCCAGGACCGAACATAATCGGTTACCTACTCCAGTTAATGCAGAACATTTAAATGAAAATGCAAGTTTGAACCCAGGAAGTACGTTGCAAAGTTGTAATATGCCTATAATTAAATGTGTTTTTAAACTTGCAGATGTGGAAAAGATTTTCCAGGAAATCAAAAAATTGAGGGAGGAATTAAAAGAAATAAAAGCTTTTATTAAGCAGTCACGGAATGCTGATGTTGCTGCCTTACCAGATGACATTCCTGTGGAGTTTCCTTTGAATGCTGTTGCTCACATGCAACGGCTGGATGAATATTTATCAGCAGAGGATAAGCGTAATAGTTTGGTAGTGTACTTGCATTAGTTTTTAATATTGTAAAACATGTTTGTTTTTTAAGGCTTTGTACTTGTCTTCATTGGGTGGTTCTGGAACCATACCAAAGGTCAACAAAATTTTGAGATTTCTCATGACAAATAATTTAGCTACGCAATATAATTTTGTGGGGCAGAGGCGTAACAAGATTGCTTTTGGAAGTACACAACTGCAAAGTGTAATCATTCGTAAGAAGGCTAAACAATTATGATATATTTGTACTAATTATTTTTTCTTGTAGGTGCTGTACAGATCAAATCTCCTGCAACAACACAATCAGAAATAGAAAGCGCAGTAAAAATTTGGCTAAAACATTCCAAGCAAAGAATGGAAAAGAGGGGGGTATCTGGAAATCAGTGAGACTTTGATTATATTTTTTATAATTTTTTATTTATGTAGAATTTGTTTTTTATTTGTGGTATTTTAAAATGTCAAAACGAAAATTAAAAGAATTTGTTGGTCGTAGACAGCAATGCAGAAGGGCTTTGCAAGCTACTAAACAGGAACTTGATTATGTTTTACGTAATGATAACCTTGCCAATAATTGTGTTGAAATTGACCATGTAGAAAATTATAGTAACTTAGAAGTAAATTGTAATGTAACAAGAGGCAATTCATCTTCGTCAGACAATGACAATATTGATGAGCACAGTACAACTTTTTTACAGTGTACATCATCATCAGATTGTAGCAAAAGTGAAATATCAAATGACGATACAATTTTTAGACAATTAACTGAATGGGCCTTAAAACATAAAATTTCACATTTAGCTTTGACAGATCTACTTCATGTACTTTCTATGCACCACCCAGAACTACCTTTAGATAGTCGAACTTTGTTAGCAACTCCAACTTCAACATCTATTTGCCAGTTAGAAACAGGTCAATATTGTTATTTTGGAATAACACGTTCGTTGAGTAAACTGGTTTCATTTATTAAGCCATTTGATGACAAAATTGAACTTAGCTTTAATGTCGATGGTATACCACTTTTCAAAAGTTCTAAATTACAACTTTGGCCAATTTTGGGATTAATTAAAAATACAAATAGCAGTATAAGACCTTTTGTGATTTCAGTCTTTTGTGGAAAGAACAAACCAAAACCTATAGATACGTTTCTCAATCCTTTCATAGAAGAATTAAGTGCTTTGCTAAAACATGGGTTTTTTAATGACAATAAACACTTCCAAGTAAATGTGCATTGCTTTGTTTGTGATGCCCCTGCAAGAGCCTATTTAAAAGGCACAAAATCCCACACAGGATATTCTGCTTGTGATAAGTGTACAGTTCACGGTGAATATTTTAAAAACAAGGTAATTTTTGACAGTTTAATATCGCAAAAACGAACAGATCAATCTTTTCGTCAACAACTGGATGAAGACCATCACATTTCCTCCACTCCTTTGCTTAATTTACCAATAAATTTGATCAAAAATTTTCCTACGGACTACATGCATAATATTTGTTTAGGAATTGTTAGAAAAATGCTTAACACTTGGATTGGAGGTTCTTTAAGGGTTAGACTACCACACCAAAAAGTTACAACTATGTCTCAACGTTTACTTGACTTGAAAAGAAGAATACCGATTGAGTTTAACCGCAAACCTCGTTCATTGGAGGAGTTAAAGTATTGGAAAGCTACAGAATTTAGAACCTTTTTAATATACTTGGGTCCGTTGGTTTTAAAAGATGTAGTGAATAATGCTGTGTATCAAAACTTTCTATTAATTCATTTTTCAGTTTCAATATTATTATCTGAAATACATATAAGAAAATTTGGAATTGAGTTGGTAAGAAATGTTATCAATGTTTTCATTGATCACTCGAAAACATTATATGGTTTAGAGTTCATGGTGTATAATGTGCATTTATTATCACATATCTGTGACGATGTAGAATGGTTTGGTGTGTTAGATAATTTTTCGGCATTTCCCTTCGAAAATTACCTTGGGCAGCTCAAATCATTAGTGAGGACCTCTACAAATCCTTTACAGCAGATTCATCGTCGCCTTTGTGAACAGGATTTATTTATTTCCCGGTCTTCTAATCAAAATTGTGGCATAAAGTTAAGTTTAGAACATTCAAATGGACCATTGATTTCTGGTCAGAATTATAGATGGCATAAACAATTTACTAAACTTCATTTCCGTTGTATTACATTGTCACTTGTAAGCTATTGTAAAGCAGACAGTTATGTTTTAAATTTTTCAAGAGATAAAGTTATTGAAATTCATAACATACTAACAACCATTGACAACTCAACATATATTATTGGCAAGGAATTTCTCGATTATTCAGATTTGTATTTGTACCCATACCCTTCAAGCGAATTGAACATTTTTGAAGTTCAAAATTTGTCAGAATCTTTTAAACTATGGGCAATTACTGAATTAAGTAGCAAATGTATTGTTATACCATATAAGCAACATTTTGTAGCAATGCCTATTATTCATAGCCTGTTATAAATTAGAAAGAAATTGCATAGCAATTTTATTCTATCTAAAAATATTTGATATTTCAAATTAATGTAGCAACTAATGTTTGATATTACGTGTTCTACTTACATTCTCTAAAAATATTGTCTGCTTAATCATATAACTAAGATGGATTAAAATGTTATGCAACTTTTTTTATTTTTATCATATTAGTTTCTAACCACACATTTTTTTTTTATTTAAATTTGTATACCGCATATGTATATATAACGGTTCTTTAAATACTATTTATGTACTTATTTTATATGTAAGTTTTACGTATGTATTTTCTGTTTATAGTAAACATAAAATTGTATTGAAGCGTTTTATTTAAGTATCAGGTTTTGGGGTATGGCTGAATTTATGTTGATGGATAACGTCAAATTGACGTTTTTGTATGACGTCATTTGTCTGAGACATTAGGAAGTCATTTTCACGTCATTTTTTCGTCATGTAACTAGTGATATGTGGTCATCACATCACCATCGATAGACGTCATTTTCACGTACTTTTGCTGCCTGGGAGAGGGAGCCCACCATTTCGACAGTACTATATTAACTCAGCCAGCTCTCTGGTAGGTGGGGCCTCTTCCGAGTCATACCAACTGGAGATAAGCTGAGCAGACCATCAAGTGCTTGGTCCATTCTCTGCCATCTTTCAGCTGAAGTCTTTGAGCTACAAAGATCCCTAAAACAGAGATCAGCCATTAGATAAGACTCAATTCATCTAGCGACATAAACGCAAGTCAGTTGACTGCCCCTCTTATAATAAAGAGAGTCCTCCATCTGGCGCAGACCTTTTACGCGTCCCCTGTAGGCTGTAAACCCAAGGTTCTTGTATGAGGCGGGTGTTGACGGCCTATTTATAACCAGTCACCCCCTTACTGTGCTGCAAATTGCTCTGTAGGAGGTTTACCTCGTCATCACACTGATGCATTAGGTTCCATCCTCCACTAGTGATGCCGACGGTTAGGTACGACTCCTGGTCGGAGCCAAGGACAGCCACGTAAGCCAAAAGCTCGACTACATCTTTCTCGGCCTCTGAGGGCGCTGGTACTAATCCCGACGCCCCTACGAGGTCGATAACGAGAGATTGAGTCCCCTCGAAACTGGGTCCCGCTACTCCGATGGAGCGCTCTTCCTTACCTGGCGCAGGCGGAGCATTCGCTTTCGTCACAAATGTGACGTGCGAGACATCCGCATGTTTGAAAGTTCTGCCGCCGGAGTGCCCTATAAGATGGCTCATTTACACTAAATGCGAGGAGGATCCCTGCGAAAGAACGCCCTCCATAGACTCGTCCTGAAAGGATTGCCGCTCTGGATGCGCTTCAAGCTTGTAGCCGTGTCATCCGGGAGTCCGTATAACACTGCCATAACCTAGGGTTACCCTAGGGACGTGCCTCCGCACTTGCAGAGACGCACCAGGGCATAATAAAAGCGACGGTCCTCTTCAACTAGTCCAAGGTTCACTGCTCTTCGCATTCGGTCACAATGGCACTCTGCCGATTCCAGCGGAACCCTGCCAGCCGATGAAACGCACCCCCCTCCCAAGGTTAATAGAGAAAGTAGGTTGCCTCGTAACTTTCAGCCAATAGACGTTCAGTATTAAAATACGCGAATGACGTCACCCACGGCCGGTTGCAGGAAAGCGAATTATAATCAAAATCCTACATTATTTGTCAAATCTGAGTTTAAACAAGAATTTTGACATTTGATTAGCTGCCTACTGCAATATAAAGTCAATCAAATGTCTTAATACCGGATTAAACAATAATCCTGGATTATTTTTTTTGTGCAACTGGCCGCCAGACTCCCATTTTGTCCACATCATAAAAATTAATTATTAACGCAACAACAACAGAGCAAGTTCAAAAAATGCAAAATGGATCGAAATGGTACTTTACATGGATGTGCTGAAAAGTTACTGTATTGCATAGAAAGAAACATGCTGGCGAAAACGCACTTTATTCAAAATAGCTTACATTTCAACTTCATAGTCTTCAGCCGGGAAATGTAGACTGCACAGTCTATTGAATATGGGGTTCAGGTTCCCCTTTAATGGACCTCGACCGAGGCCGAGTGTGACACCGGAACAATTATTTACTACCCTGAGCCCCGCCGAAGCGTACCGACTTGCCCATAGGCCCGTGGTGCATGAAATATGTTTGATAACATTTTGTTGCAATAATTCCAAGGATGTGACAGGTTCCCAATATACTCTATCTACTACATAATGTACCTATGGTTGACGTCTGGCTGCACGTGTGTCTGAACTCATAAAGAAGGTACACAGACGAAATAAATGAAACTTGTTATACATTGGTAATAAGCTAAAACCAATGGCGAGCGAATTTGGATCCATTATAATATAACACAGTAATAACGGGCGAAAAAAATGAGTTGCTGTCGAGTCGCCTTTGGAAGTTAAGTGTACGATCTCCCATATAAACAAAAATTCCAAAGGTGATCCGTGACTCGACAGTAACTCATTTTTGATCGCATAATATCTGCAAAACGCAGCTATTTACGTAGTTAGCGTATGAGCCTGCATCCTCACAGTTAATCCTTTTTTTACCATCCAATGCTAATTTCACCTTTTCTTTCGCAATCGATACCCGAGTTCCGACTCATCGCTTGTGGGTTTTTTAGAAAAATAAACGCTGGAAGAACTATATTAACAGGCAAAATAAAAATTAATAAAAAAAATATTTATTTAAACACTAATCAGTCGTGTACACAAAAATCTAGCCTGAGAAATCATTTTGTTTGTTGCTACTTCGTTTCCCGCTTAGTGACGCTGATGAATTGGTGTCGATATCAGAAGTCAGAAATTTATTAACTCTTTCATAATACTCCGCATTACTTTCATCGTTTGGTAAATTACCATTCGTTTTCTTCTGCAAGTGTTTTGGTATTTTAATATTTTCGCAATAATGACTGAGAATATCGGGCGGTACCACTTGTCCCTTCAAATTCCCTCGATGAATCGTGTTAACTTCTACCTTTCCTCCCATTTTTGGAATCACTATGTCGTCTGGGTAGTTATTCTTCATTCCGCTAAAGCTAACCTTGACTGAGAGAGTGGACCAAATTGCTTCCAAAGCTGATGCGATTAATATGTTTATGGTGATCATATCTTTAGTGTTGGGATGACGCACAACCTTTGAGTTGGTTATTATAATAAGAACTATAACTAAAACTAAACATATGAGTGACGTCGTAGTTGACACTACTGACATAAGGAAGAACCAACATATGTTGTGGTCCATGTACCATCTTTTCCATGCCAGCAGAGCCGTCAATCCGGCGCCAAGTGCGCCTATGCACATTAGGCAGGGTCCCAATGTTAATGAAGTCGACGGATCAATTCGCTCGCTATTATGAGTATTGTTAGTGAAGTTCTCATCTGTTTCATTGTGCGATCCTTCTGTATTCATTGTTGACGAGGTAATGGTAAGTGAAGCCATTAGTAGAGATACTAGTGCAAATGACAGATGAACCACTCCAAGGCCTAGGACAATGGATGCAGAATAACGTCTTTCAGATGGGTACAGCCATCGTGGGTCGGGATTTGTTTTCACCTTGACTTTAAAAATGTTTTCCATTGTGAGTAATTCACATAACTTCCAACTTCACGTTGCATTCATGAGTGTGTTGATGTTGAATGGCATAATTTTTCAATGGAGATCTGAAACCAAACTCTAATTGAGCAACTTGATCTTCTGACACAATATAGGTATTCACCCGAATGCACAAAACAATAAATGTTTAAACAACATTTCATCTCCAAATTACTTCATGACCTATAAATTTATTTTATCAAAATTTATGTATTCTGGCTACTGAACAATTTGGAGATGAAATGTTGTTTAAACAATAAATATGCGACTTCTTAGGTTTTTCACGGATAAAATGCTTTATTTGTTTCACCTACATCATTGGGATAAGTTCATCATTAGGCGCCTAACTACTTGGGTATTTATTTTGTTATCAAGCAAGGAGATGCTGATAAGAATCATTGAATTTTTGTGTTTGTTTTAAAATTTTATTTAAATAGACTAGAGGATGCGGTAGGAGTATGGATGGATATTACAAAATTGTCTTTCAAGTGGTTCTCAGTTGGAATTGAAACCGCTCCACCTCTCTCAGCAAAACATCTCGTCAACTTTTGCCTTTTTTTCTTCATAATGAATAAGAGGAGGCTATTATCTTCTTCCTCTTGATAACATTCGAAGAACCGACTTTTTACAGATATTCATACTGATTCAAAGGCCTAAACACGCAAGCACAAAACCAGCTGTGTATTAAATGGCCACCAAAAACAGAATTACAATTTATAACTGGCGAGTGGCGAGCCTATATAACACAAACCGAGACACAAACTATACAATTGTAACAAGTCGACGAGTTACAAGTAATCTGCCTGTAACTATAGTTCTAATGAATTCGGTATATGCAAATGAGTTGTGTTATGAAAAAGCTATACAAGTGTAAAATATATTTTAACAATTGTAGGACTTGATAAATCATCACGTTAGTTATCCACACTCGGAGATGATACCCAGATGTCGCCAACATCATGTAGCTCCGTTTCCTAATGTTGTAATTACTTTAACTTTAAGGGACGGGGCTACATGATGCGGGGTCGGCGACGTCTGGGAGCCATCCCGAGCATAGTTTACGAACGTGGTTTTGGTCCGATTGTTTTCCAACTGGTGTCGACGGAAAGATCTTTTAAGCGCGCACAACTCCTGAATGACAGAATTTTGCTTTTTCTTATGGGCGAAATTAACCACCTTTTGCAAGGCGATAAAATGATAAAATGAGCAAAAGGAGAAATCACCGCCAAATATGTGTCTTCTTCAGTGGTCAAATGTGCATTAAAAACTGCATGACAATATCATATTTCTAATTAAGGCGGTTTTAGATTTACCAACCGGTAGGTATGAATTTATTAATATTAGTATTTTGTTCATTATTTGGCATATGCTACCCACTGCTAATTATTGTTTAAATAATATAATTTATTTTAGATAAGACTGATTTTTCGAAAGAAATCCCCTTTATGTGACGGTTTGTCAGTCTGCCCACCGGTTCCTCAAGAACGAAAAGAAACAACGATGTCAGACCTTCACCAATCAATTTCTATGGATCAGTGCTATGGTATTGAATATGAGCCGGATTAAAAGTAGCGTTTCCGCATGCGAGCTGAGTGTAAAAAACATTCCCCTACTGAAAAGCGTATGCGATTCTTCATATCTTGCTATTAATGCTGATAAAGCACTAACAAAACAAATGGAAAGGTAATCGTTTACAAACGATTTACAACCTACCACGCTCCCTTTGTAAACACGCTCTTCTGATATTTCGTTCTCTCGATGTTGGCATTGTAATTTTTAAGCATCTTACAGCATGGCATTGACTTTTTTCACAAATCACAATTTGCTATTATAAAAGATCCTCAGGCTCAGATCCGTTATAGTTTTGTATTGTTATACGTCCGTGTGCACGAGGGATAATTAATTTCAACATTCGGACAGGGCGTTACCTATTGATTTTCAGGTACCTAAGTCAACAGAAACAAAGTGGATTGCGAACGGGAAAAATGAATTGCTAAAATAATAGAAATCAGTATATTACCTATTCTCTAGGACCCTTAGATGTGTAGGAATTGACTGTAATTCCCCTCTCTGGGCGAGGTGTAAAGGTTTGGAGCAAAGTGTGCCCAACAGCATTGTTATTTATACAACCATTGTGGTTTGGGGAGGCTTTCAAACGCATTATCTTGATCCCAAATCTTGCGCATATTTGATAACCACGTGTATTTGATCAAGATGCATTTGTGATCAAAAGGCGTAAAAAAACAATTAGTTGTGCAGCAAAGTAACTACATTTTGGATGCCTGGGTATTTTGATCAAGAAACGCAAGTAAATATTACCTAAATATGATCTGCTTTCAAAATTAATGAAAATCGTATTAATTAAAACAAATCTTGTACTCGTTGCATTTATAAATAGTTATTATGTACTTATCAAGGACGAAAAGGTGTCTATTATGACGAGTATGGAATTTGATGTCCAAGGCGTGGCTTCGTTCGACTAAAAGAGCAATTCCTAAACAAAATCGGCTATGTTGTAACTGTTTACGTTTATCTAATTTTTTCATAGCATTTTGGAGAGGTGGCCTAAAAGAAATTTCCTCTTTGGAACAAGCCTCGGAGAATATAATTGGCAAAATGAAGAAGGTAAGTCTGTAAGTCACTAGCTTTGCAAATAAAGAAGAACACATTTTTAGCGCTCTTTTTAAGAATAAACAAATGTGCTATTGTTTGTGTTTTATCCGTCCATCCATCCGTTCGTCCGGACCCACTTCTGTCGTGTTAAACTACTTTTAGGGGAATGGTCCTAGAGTCTTCTAATTTTTTGGAATAGGTAGCCTATACCTTAAAAGTGTGCCAGGCGGCCATTAAATTTCGTTTATCTTAAGGGGGGCGGGCCCCCATGAATTATTTCCTGAGAGTGAACACACGTTCTGCCCTTCATGGTATATTCTAATGAAAGGTCTCATCGAAATGAATTGGTTAGTACAAATTATATCTTTCCCACGTGACTACTTTCCGAGATCAGTGGGTGAGCGGGAAGGGGAGGGGGGGTTAAAAATTAATTTTATTTTTCATGGTATTATAATCAAAGTTCTCAACAAAAGGAACTGTTTTCTACCAACTACAGCCCTTCTTTCTGACCCCTTATCAAAAGAGGGCGTTGGTTCATGGTGCTCTAAGGAAAGATTTCAACGAAAGGATCGGATATAATTCCTTATATTCCACTAACAGATTGTCGGAGGAGGGCACTCTCAAAGGGCGATTGGGACGTCTGGAAGAAATATTTTATATATAAATTGGTGATGTCAAAACTTCAAGTGCTAATATCTCGAAAACGCTATGTCGGAGGAAAGGACCCTCAAAGGCAAAATGAATCGTCTGGATGAGACGTACCTATTGGTAAAGTCGAAGCGAATATATTGGAAACAAAGTGTCTGAATAGTGTTGATCATCAATAAATATAGCATGCTACCTTATAGCCCAACCATTTACTATGCTATTTCGGTTTAAAAAAATGCGCTTTATCTGCACAAGAGTAGTGCCCAAATTATACTCAGCTCTGCAAGATGTTTTCTTTATTTCTGGAACCACAAGCGTCCACTAACGAAAATCAGAGGTGCGCGTTCTAATAATATCGATAAGTTTTATCTGTGTTTGCCCTGAGATCCTCATAGCGTATACAAATAAGATAATTTTCAAAAACCAAATTCTACCTACTTTTCTCTATTTTTCTACATGGTTACCAAGTTTGTTTAAACACTTATCATACCAAACAACTGAATAGAAACTTGCCATCTGCTCCGTTAACCAAGTGGACACAGCCGTTTTCACTTCTACGTCATACTTGTAGGTAGTACTTGCCGTCGAAATGATGTTTGAGATTGCGGAAAAGATGAAAATCGTTTGGCGCAAGGTCTGTAGGAATTTGAAAATAAATTTGGTTTTTTTTGCTTTCGTTTTGTTATTATTTTCAAACGGACCTTACTTAAAAAACACGCCTCGTAAAACAAGGCGATTTCCGAAATGCAGCAATGAAAATTTTTGGAATAAAGGAGCTTTGGGGAAAGTCAAAGGATGTTGTGAAGTTTATCGTAGTGGGTTGCTTCATACCCTAAATTAGTTTTTTTGAATCTTTTCTTAAAGAGATAAGGTTAAACTATGCCTAAATGTGCAAACAAGGGAACTATAAAAGAAGTTTACTTCTTATGAAGTTTGAGGTGGCCTATTAATTACTCCAGATATATTGTGACATAAAAAAGCGATGGTCCACTCCACAGCGATAGAAGTTATTTCGGTGTTTGCGGTCGATGGGGAAATTAAAAATTGATGTTTGTATTCAGCTCGCTTATACACGGCATTGAAAAAAAAGAAAGCTACTGAAACAGTAATTTTTATAACAGTGACATTTTAACCCATTTCTAAGGTTCATTTAAACTGGATTGTTTTCTATGTTATCTATAAAATTCATTGTTCTTTATATAGTACGTCGCCCGTGGTAATGTCCTTAATACTATTTAAAGTAGGGACGCTGCTTCATTGTTCGTACCTAATTTATTTTACTCTATTACCATGGTTGCTACCTGCGCCAGCCCTGAGAAACATTTTGTTCTCATGATGAAAATATGAAATATTAATAAAAGACGAATTTGGATAAAAAAATCCGATACAAATGGATACCGGACGATCCTCGAGTTCGCCTGATAATCTGCATAGCTGAAAGACAATAGAGACCTTTCTGATATCCTTAAGAACAACATGCGTACCAATTTTTAAAGCGATCGGACGTTTCTGATTTCTAAGCAAGGTTATCGTGCACACGGACAGACGGACAGCAATACAAAATTATAAACGTTCTCGAGGGTCGATAAGCTTCAGTGTTATAAAAAAAACTCTGCCCATTAAAACCTCCTTCCTTCGGGTCCTAAAGTACCTATAAAACACCAAGTTATCTTAATAGCTATTATTGGAACCAATTCCATTTGGAAACGGTTCAAAATTCGAAACGACGAGCTATAAAATATGTAACTTCTACTTGGTAAAAGTGGGTACCATGAGTAGTATAGGGGCCACCATGGGCACCCCCCACTCCTCCTCCTTTAAGCCCCGCCCCCCTGGCTTCCTATTGGTTGGCTTATACCCCGCCCATCTCCCACTCCTTTAATCTGATTGGCTCCCCGCCCTCGTTTGAGAATCCTCGATTCCTATTGGTTCCACCCCCCCTTCGTTCTCATTGGTCCTGACAAATCCTCGATTCCTATTGGTTCAACCCCCTTCTCCTTTCCTTCGTTCTCATTGGTCCTGACAAATCCTTGATTTCTATTGGATGGATCTCCCACCCGTTCTTCGACGCATCTACCTCCAGTCGCCGTTGCATGGTCTCTCTCGTCCACATGGTTATCGACGACTGTTTCTCAGTTCATATCCAGTCGTTGTGGGGGGGACATGCCACTTTTGGATCTTTCAGAAAAAACCCGTAGAGATCAAGGTTCGAACCTACTCCCCGCACGTACTACCGTCGTAGAGTATCGATATAGCATCTGCGCTACGAAGAACTAATGCAAAATATAGGTATCTCGTCGTTCCATATTCCTGCACTGTGCTGCTGTGGTTGATTAATCGTGGGTATGCTATATAAATTACGTTCTAATTATTTTTAGGCAATAAATGGATAAACAAAAATAAGGCAATCGTGAAATTCGTGTATGTTTTCTGAGGGGTGTTTGAAATCTGCACCGATTTTGAAAGTAATCTTTATTTTCGTTTAGACTTGCGTTGCATAACGTTAAATCACGTGATCACACACCTGCAATAAAATTTCAATTAGCGGAAGACCGTATCAGTATCCATTTGAACATTGAGGCAGTTAGTTCATATTTTTCTTGGTAAAGAAATCTTCGTACTTACGCCTAGTAAAAAATTACAGACCGATTAGAAGGTCTGCATTATGTCTTCCACCAATTTTGCAATTTTTAAAGCTCATTGCATAATCTGTATCATAGATCACGTGATAAATATCTAGGTAATGCATTCTTATAAAGTCAGTGCACCTGTGCAAAGTCGACAGTATAAAGAAGCACTTCGAAGTGTAAACGTACCTGTGAGCCGCACAGATTGAATTCTTTTCTGGCTTACCAATTCCATATTAAGTTGGTATTCTCGTGCATGCCAAAATCAGTTTTGCATTCGAATTCGAATCAGACTTAAGAAAAAATAGCTATCAGCGCGATAAGGTTTTTGTTTAAGTGTATCTAGGAGTAAGATTTCTGCACGATAATTATTACGCAAAGTAGGTTATTAATAACATTTTTTTCAATCGCATCATTGCGAGTAGGTAGCTAATTCTCGCCGCTATAAAAAGTACATCACTGGTGTGTTGTAACTAGGTAAGCACTTTCAGATTCACTCGGTAATTACCTATACCCCCATTCAAACTTTTTTTTTTGGTGACTATGGCCAAATACGAAATTGTTGGCGAATTTCAAAAGAACGTTAAAAGGTTCGCATTAAGGGGGCGTACAATAGAATTCAAAATCAAAGACGTTCCACCCAATGAAAACACAGTGTTGTGGATCAAAACAGCCATCAACCAAATAATCTCTTATATATGCACTGACGTTTCTCCTTCTGATATGATCGGGTTTAATTTTTGTTCTAAAAAGTTTTCGCGAGGGGGAGGGTACTTACGATTCCAGCCTGCCGAATCGGTATCTTTTGAAGATATTTGGGGATTAATTTCGAGCATTTATCAATCTAATTCAGCTGGTTTAAGTACGGAAACCTTCTGTTTGGAGGCTACAATTATCCGGGTGCCATCCGGCAAAGGTAGGATTAAGGCGGGTAACTACAACAATTTTGAGGAAGAATGTTCTGCTCGAAAGGGGATTATTTCCATTAAAAATACAGATAACTTATGTTTACCCAGAGCTCTTGTTGTTGCCATAGCTAAAGTCACGGGCGATTCTGGTTATGAGAACATAAGAAGAGATAGAGGTCATGTTCAGTTAAATAAGGCGAAACAGTTGATGCAGGAAGCTGAAGTATACATTGAGGCAAACGGTGGCGGAATACCCGAACTGAACAAATTCCAATCTTATTTTGGTAACAACTTTAAGATTGTGGTATATAATTTCGGTACTAAAGGGCGCGAAGTCATATTTGAAGGCAACTCAGACGCAAAGTTGACAATCAATCTATTATATTTTGAAAATCATTACAATGTTATTACTTCACTAACGTCGGCTTTTGTGTGCCGATATTATTGCGAACCTTGCCATATCCCCTATAACAATAAAGGGGGTCATATTTGTGCCAGTATTTGCATATCTTGTAAACGGTCCCCCGCATGTGATCGAGAGCTGATAATTAAATGCGCTGATTGCCGTAGGAATTTTGTCTCAAATTTATGTTTCAGTAACCATAAACTTCACTCGGGAAAAGAAGATAAATCGGTTTGTGAAAAATTTTTTAAATGTCGTACGTGCTACAAAATAGTTTTAGCCGGGCGAACTCACAGTTGTAATACAATTTATTGCAATATATGTCACCAAAACCGACCAAATAATCATCTTTGTTATATGCCCTTGGATTCCTCTTCACCAAAATTAACAGATTTCCTTTTTATTTTTTACGATTTAGAATGCACGCAAAACAAAACTGTATCTGATGGAAAATCTTTGCATGAACCAAATTTATGTGTTTTCAATCAGAGGTGCGAAGTATGCATCGATTATCCAATCGAGAAAGTTGTTTGCAGAAAGTGTGGTGTACGTCAACAGGTATTAAATATGAGCAGCATAATTGAGACGTTTTTTCAACATATTTTAGAGATAAGAAAGAAGTTCAAACATGTAATAGTTTTGGCACACAATGGACAGGCTTACGACCATCAATTTATTTTGAATTATATTTTAACCAAAACTCAGTTCAAACCAGAATTAATTATGAGAGGTTCAAAAATAATTTCCCTGAGTATCAATAATGTGAAACTGTTAGACTCTTTGAACTATTTTCCCATGTCCCTCGCCAAGTTACCAAAAGCGTTCGGTTTAACAGACGATTTTCGAAAAGGATTTTTTCCGCATCACTTTAATACACCCGAAAATCAAAATTATGTAGGACCGTATCCCGATATGAAGTATTATAATCCAGATGCTATGAAGACCGACGAAAGAGATAAATTTATTAGTTGGTACACCGAAAATAAAGACAACATCTTTGATATGCAAAAGGAAATTGTCTCTTATTGCATATCCGATGTAAATATATTAACGCTCGCCTGCCTGAAATTTCGAGAATTATTAATTAAATCCGGAAATGTGTGTCCGTATACAGAGGCATGTACGATTGCCAGCGCATGTAATAAACTGTTTCGTCGTAACTTTTTGAAAACAGACACGATCGGTTTGATTCCTAGACAGGGATATCGATACCGCGATAATCAATCAAAAGTAGCAATTCACTGGTTAATATGGGAGGAAAAGGTGCGAGGAATAGACATCGTGCACGCTGCCAAACAGAAAGAAATCGTCATCGGTGGTTTGCCTGTTGATGGGTATTGTCCACAAACAAATCAGGTATTTGAAATGATGGGGTGCTTTTATCATGGGTGTGTAAAATGTTTTAAAAATGATCGCGACAAACCTATACACAGTAACTCGTACGAAACGATGGATTTAAGATACGAAAATACCTTGTCAAAAATCAATCACCTTAATCAACTAGGTTACGAGGTAATAGTAAAATGGGAATGTGAATTTAAACAAGATACAAACCCCAACATAAATAAGTATGTGTCTGAACACCCATTGGTACATTTTGCTCCATTAAACGCGCGAGACAGTTTTTACGGCGGTCGAACCGGTAACATAAAGTCCTACTATAAAGTAAAAGACGGAGAAAAGATCAATTACATCGATATCTGTTCATTGTATCCCTACATTTGCAAAGTAGGCAAATTTCCTATTGCCCATCCTCAGGTCTTAGTAGGGAGCGACTGTGCCAATCTCGACGTCACAAAAGTCGATGGACTTATTAAATGCAAGGTACTGCCTCCACAAAATTTATTTCATCCCGTTCTTCCAATAAAGTTAAATAATAAATTAATGTTCCCTCTGTGTTATTCCTGTGCTAAAAATTTTACGCAGGAGGATTGTTCCCACGAAATAGGCGATAGAGCCATTGTGGGAACATGGGTGGCCGACGAAATTGTCAAATCTATAGAAAAGGGTTATAGGATTATGGAGGTATACGAAGTTTGGAGTTATAAAACGGAGCAGTATGATGGCAAGTCAGGTGGTTTATTTACTGAAATGATGAATAAATTTATTAAAATCAAACAAGAAGCGAGCGGGTGGCCATCTAACTGCAAAACTGACAAAGAAAAACGAGCCTATATTGCACGATTTTATGAAAAAGAAGGTATATTATTGGAGTTTGATAAAATTGAATTTAACCCAGGTCTACGTTCGTTAGCAAAATTAATCTTAAATTCATTTTTCGGAAAATTCGGTCAACGAGAGAACCAACCTAAAACCAAAATTATTAACCAACCGGTGGAATTGTATGCACTTC